AATTTGATCTTTCCACTGGATTCCACGAAAAATCTCATGCTTTGTTTATTTTCTTTCTTGGATGAAAATAACACTCCCTTAGAATGTGTTTCCATTCTTCCCATACAGAACTAAGTTTTGTAAATTAAAGTAGACATAATCTACTTTTGAGCTTCTCCAATGAGGGTACAAATAGAGTAATTAATAAACTCTTGGTAATTTGGATGAATTAAAGAGCTTAAACAGAAAAAGTAGATTTCATTCTGCTTGAAGATTAAAGTATTTATCTGATAATTGATTAGATTGCATCAATACGTTCTCCTTATAAGAAACCTCATAAAATGTTAAAAATAATTTGTTCTCTGTGTATATGTGTATATGTGCAGGTGTGATGTGTGCGTAAATATGCATATATATATATATATATACATACTATACACATATATACGTAGAGACACATACACACACATATACATATAGATACACACATATATAGGCATTTTCCTTACATACAATTTCCATAGTTGTGTGTATGGAAAAACATACAATTTACATAGAAGACTGGAAAGAGATAGCCAAAAGTACAAATCATTGCTGTAAAATGAATAATAAATCCCTTTTTTTATATATTATTTTGTATATACTAATATTTTGAATTCATCATGTATTACCTTCATATAGTTAGAAAACACCTCATTTCTAAGTGAATGAAAAGCAACTGACTTGATGTTTGGTGTTTTTTATTCTCCTCTGAACTTTCAGAAAATACTCATTTAATCTGATATGGGTTGTTTTGTGTCGTTTTGTCTTGTTTTGTTGTTTTGAGACAAGGTCTTGCTCTGTTGCCCAGGCTGGAGTGCAATGGTATGATCATGGCTCACTTCACCCTGGAACTCCTGGGCTCAAGCAATCCTAAGTGTGGGGATTACAGGTGTGAACCACCACTTTTGGCATGTTTTGCTTTAAACTGTATAAAATCTGACTTAAAATATCTCTTCTTGAAAGTCATTTACAAAATTTTATTCTAGATCTATCTTATGTCAAATTATAACATCCACAAGCTAATATTTCAAAGCACTAGATTAGCCCATGCCCCAACCACTTTAAAATTCTTCTGCTTGAAAGTTCAATATGTAGCAAATTAACTGCTATCTCTGGTAGAGATAGACTGGAGGGAACCAGAGGGGAATACTCTATTATTAATGTTATATTTTTGTGTTCCCATCAATGAATTATTCTCAGCTTATATCAGAAAAAAAGGCAATCCAGTTCCTTGTAGACTTCTTTACGAAAGTGAGAATATTTAGGGAGACCAATTTTCCAGAGAGGAATGAATCAGAAACACAGTCTCCAATGTATCTGGGAATCCGAGCAATGGGTCTGACCTTCCTTCTCTCCACATTCACTCCCAACTCCTTAATTTCCATATATTCTATTTCTTTATTTTGTTAGGTAAAAAACATACTTCCAAACAGGCAAGCACAATCTTCTTGATCTATAAACAGCAGGACAAAAACGCAGGGATAATGGGGAGTTAGAAAACAGTTCCGTGGCAGAGAGACTATGAGTAATCAAGGACCAAGGGAGCCCACGCAAAGATGGTATGGACAGGAGAGCTCAGCCCCAGGTCTTCAACAGGGCCTTTCTGAAAGACCATGGTTATCACAGACTACAGGGTCTCAAAGAAGGACTCAGCTTCTTTTAGAGTTGATTGGGGTTGGTGGAGTAGAGAAGGAGAGTAGATAGGTCTAAATTCAGTTGTCTTTTATTATAAGAAGATAATTTGATTTGGATAATCAGAGCATGGGAGCCCAGGGTGAAGAGAATTAAAGAAATATAGTTGTATACCTAAAACAAATTTCTCCCACGGTACATGTATACGTATGTTACAGAACTGCACGTTCTGCACATGTACCCCAGAACTTAAAGTATAATAATAATAAAATAAATAAAAAAAATTTTCTCTCTTGCTCTCATCTCTCCCTCTCCGTCTGTATCTTTCTCCCTTTCTTCTCCTCTCTCTCTCTCTTTTCCTCCCTCTTTCCCTCTCTTTCCCAGGATTCCCACAAATGTCATTTCTGCTGCCTGGATGATTCTTTCCCCTCAAAGCTCATATTAGTCAACATGTTCAGCCCCCAAGACACTCCCAAATTTCAATGTAAATGTTATTTCTTCAGATAAACTTTATCTGCCGCTTTCCCCCTTCTCTCTTAGAGAAATAAAGTGCAGCAATAGGAAACAGAATATTTGCTGGTGGAATTCCAAATATCTTTCATCAGAAAGGGAAGTGGTTTGGAAGGGCAGCAGAGTTTTGCCACTGTCCTTGAAATGCTACTGTATTGATTAAAGTGTTCTTAATGTCATTGACTCATCCAAGGTTAAAGTATGCTGTACCAAACTACGGATTTTATGTATGGATCATTTTAATTTTTTTCATATTTTATATTTGCCACTTTGGGTACCTCCAAACATCCAATACCTAACAGACAACTGGAAATACAAAAACTTTGATTTTTTTCCCTTGTGAATTCAAGATAAAATTTTCTGCAAGATTTGGCACTTGATTATCCAATAAAAGTTCATTTAAGAAGCTATTCTACAGAGAGATCCAAGATGGCTGATCACTAGCAGCTCGGGATTG